TGGATAGTTCATTCTGACTGTCCATCGATCTAAGGATGATATGTTGAACTGAAAGATAACTTAGTTCCCATAGCCATCTGAAGACTTCTCCAAAAATTTGAAGTGAATCTTGAGTCTCTATCTGACACAATGGACATTGGTACCCTATGGAGTCGAACTATTTCTTTGACATATAATTGTGCAAACTGTTCTAGACTGAAAGTCATACGAACCGGTAGAAAATGGGTGAGTTTTGTAAGTTGGTCTACTATGACCCAAATGGCATCATGACCTTTTGCCGACCTAGGAAGACCTACTACAAAATCCATCGAGATCTTTTCCCACTTCCATTATGGTATGTCCATGGGATTTAATAGCCCTGATGGCCGCTGATGCTCTGCTTTTGCCTGCTGACAGATTATACACTTCGACACAAATAATGATATTCTTCCTTTCATATTCCTCCACCAAAAGGTATTACGCAAGTCTCTGTACATCTTTGTGGAGCCTGGGTGTGCGGCATAAGGAGTGGAATGAGCCTCCATCATGATCTCCTTTCTTAGTTCTTCATCCTTAGGTACACACAATCGGCCTTTAAACATAAGTGCCTTATTGTTGTTTATCTCGAATCCCTTCCTCTTCTCAGTTCCAACATTGGCTCTAATCCTTTCCAAGAAAGGGTCATCTTTTTGAGCTGCTATAATCCTGTCTCTGAGGGTTGATTTAAGAACCAAACTCGTCAACTTACCTGATGCTCGAGCTGGCAACGTTAGCAGTTCTATTCTTAGATTTTCAAAATCTTTGATTAACTGGTTCTGCTGTGTACATAGTGCTGATAAATGACCTATGTTCTTCCTACTCAGAGCATCTGCTACTATATTAGCTTTACTTGGGTGGTAATGGATGGTACAATCATAGTCTTTTACTAACTTTAACCATCATCGTTGTCTCATATTTAATTCTTTCTGGGTAAAAAGGTACTTGAGGCTCTTATGGTCACTGTAAATTTCATACTTACTTCCATACAAGTAATGACGCCAAATCTTGAGATCGTAAACTACCGCTGCAAGCTCTAAATCATGCGTCGAATAGTTTCTCTCGTGCTGCTTTAATTGTCTTGATGCATAGGTTATCACCCTTCCACGTTGCATCAGAACACAACCCAAACCCAACTTAGACGCATCACTATAGATAACAAATCCCTCAGACTCCTCTGGAATTGCTAACACTGGAGCAGATACCAATCTATCTTTCAATTCTTGGAAAATCTGTTTACACATCTCAGTCCATACAAACTTCACACCTTTTTCGGGTTAGTTGAGTCAAAGGGCCCTCTATCTTAGAGAAGCCTTCTATAAATCGTCGATAGTATCCAGCCAAACCTAGGAAGCTCCTGTAACGCCCCAAATTCTCGGAAC